GGAAGGAAGGAAGGAAGGAAGGAAGGAAGGAAGGGAAGGAAGGAAGGAAGGAAGGAAGGAAGGAAGGAAGGAAGGAAGGAAGGCTGAGTCAATCTTGAGCCTGGTGAGATGCGAACTGCCAAATTGCAGGCAGCTGGCAGTCAGCAGAAGGAGTCCTGCAGTACTGCTTCCAAACCACTGCAGCACCGAGGCTCAACCTCCCCCATTCTTCCCTCCCCACACACCCCTCTTCGCTCACCAGCCGCATTCGCTCTCCTGGGCAGCTGTGCCAGCACCTGGCAGACGGAGGGAAAGGGAAGGCGAAGGAGCAGCCAGCTGAGGGAATCCAGTACCAGTGTGGTGGATCCCCATGAGGTGGTGGCCAGGCGGGATGCCAATTCCGAAGCGGACAATTCCCCCAGGGTCAGGCCGCTGCCCCTCCCGGACCAGCCCAAGGGTTCGGGGAAAGCATCTTGAAACGATATCCTGGAAGGAAGCACATTACAGGCAGTCCACACATCGAACCCCACATTTCTGCTTGCTAAGCGAGACATGTGTGAAGTATTTGACCCATTTTATGACCTCTCTGGCCACGTTGTTAAGTGAAGCACGGCTGAAAGTATAAGGCGGCCACGAGGATGCTAAAAACAGTTGTGTGAAAAACCTGGTCACAGGTCAATTTTTTTCCAGTGCTCAACGGTCACTCAAGAAATGGTTGTTAACCAATAAAAGATAATATTCATTGCTCGGGGTTGAAATAAGGAATCCTCGGTGGTCTCTGAGCTTGGTTGCTTCCCTGGAGACGTTTCATGACCCAGCTATTATTATTATTTTTTTATAAACAAGTTTTATTTTCAAGACAAACAATACATAGATACACATAAAACAAAACATAAAAGCATAAAAAATCTCTTATCTGAAAGTTGCTTAGTCCCGGGTTAAAACTCTTGGTACAGACACAAATTCAAATTCATATTCATTTTACATACCATTTCATATCTTATTAACATTTTCAGTTTTCTATATGTCTTCTCCTCTCCTTTAAATTTTCTCAATTTTATTTTATTTATCTCCTCTCAATTCATATCATAATATTTATTATTCTTTGTCTGTTCTATTCCAGCCAGCCCTTTATTTTCCTTCTTTAAAAAAAAGAAAAAACTTCTCCTGTACACTATATGGAGTATGATGCCTTTATCTCTTTCCCCTACATTTATAATACTTAATATAAAACACATGACATATATTGGGATTCTGTCTGGTACATTCTAAAATTATATTATCAAAAATAATACAAATCTATTCATTAGTATTAATATTCATTCATATCTTAAACATTTAAATCATTACTTTTCAATTAAATCACATACTTTTATGGGAGCCCTATTTTCCATAGTTATATATTATATCCCTCATCATATATTATAGCTCATTATTTCGTTAAAAAGTACCTCCTTCTACTTCAATTCTCATTTCACAAGAAATTTTGCTAGTATACCATATTCTAATCATTAATATTAACAATCATTTATATCTTAAACATTTTATCCATTTCAATTAAATATCATGCCTTTGTGGGAACACTTATGCTTTTCAAAGATTATTACCCCCACCCCCCCCCACATCACAATCTTGAATCATGTTTCATTACAGTACTCCCTTTTCTTAACCAAAAATTTCACTAATTTATGTTAAATATTTTATCACATTTTAGGTTACATATTGTTTCTAATTTTCTATGTTTACTTCTAAATACAAGTATAAAAATGCAGTCTTATGTACCTTTCTAGAATCCCTTTAACCATAAAGCTTATCCATTATCTCTAAAAAAAATTTGCTTCTTAACATCTTGCTCCCCACCATTAGGACTTCTCATCCCTTCCTTTCTTTCTTGTTTCTTCTTCTCCTTGTCCTCTTTAACCCCTTGTCTCTCCACCTCCCTTTTATTCTGCTTTCCCCCTTTCTGTTGTTTCTTAACATAATGTCCCCTTTTCACCTTATTCTTCTCTTTTTGGGCTATTTTTCCAGATCTTAAAGACCTTTTTCCCTTTTTCTCTTGCTTTTTCTCTTCTCCAGTCAAAGTCATTTGTTCATCAAAGATGGCTTCTCCTTCTTCTTTGTCCCCATCATCCTCATTCTGCTTCACATAAGTATAAACCGCCATTTCTAAGTATTGAAAAATAGTGTCAAGACCATCTTCCCCTCCTTGTTTTTCTCTTTCAAATTTTTGATATATAAGTTCCAATTCATCCATAGATGATGCCATTGTGTAGAGAAAAAGTTTTTCCAAACAACCACCCAGATGATTTAATCAGAAGTAATTTCCAAAGGTTCCAAAGTCACCAAACAATCCAAACAGACTATTTCTTTTAGATACCTTCTTCTTCTTCACTTTCTCTTTCTGGGGTTAAAGTAATCACAAATCCTTTTCAAATATATTTTTTGGAAGTTTTTAAACTCTTTGTAATTCTAGGCAATCTTCTCCTTATTTTCAAATTTTGCTCTAATTCTTTTTTTCACTCTCCCTTCCCACTCACAGCCAAAAAGGTTTTTTGTTTTTTTTCCGCTGTCACTTTAGGAAGGAGAGTAGAACAAAGAAAAAACTTTCCCCTTTAGAATATTTGCAGCTTAAAACTCTCACAGGGAACAATATATACTTAGCAGCCTTCAAGATTCCAGGTCATTTTCTCCCGTCTTGTCCCGGTTAGAATCAACTTTCACTTTTCTTTCAGCTTCCTCCCTCCTGCACCTGCTTGTCCGGCTGCAGCTTTCTTCGTGGCGGCCATTGCTGACCGCCGTTCCTCCGCCTCGGGAAAAGGGGGTTTAGCCGGCTGGGGAGGGGGTTTGCGACACCCCCAAACCCCTTGCCGGATCCCCCCTGTCTTCAGCTGCCTCTGCGGGGCAGCTATATCCCCCAGATCCAAATGGATCGGGGGAACCTTGGCGGTGAACGCAGCAGGGATCGCGCGGTCGCGAATCCCTGCCGCCGCCGAAAGGTTGCAAACCGGAAGTCCCCATGACCCAGCTATTATTGTATACCTTGCTGGCTGTGTACCGCACACTGAACCACAAAGTAAGTGACCCACACAAATCCCAGAAAGCTGAGTGGACGAAGCACAGCTCAACATCAGCAAGAACCAGAGGTCTTTTTGCAAATGTTACGGACTGGCTCACAGTGGGCAGCCAAAAAAGCCAATGCAATCCTAAATTGCATTAACAGAGGCATACAATCCAATTCAAGGGAGGTATTAATACCACTCTGTAAAGCCTTAGTTAGACCACACCTAGAGTATTGCATCCAGTTTTGGTCACCACCCTATAAAAAAGATGTTGAGACTCTGGAAAGAGTGCAGAGAAGAGCAACCAGGATGATGAGGGGACTGGAGGATAAAACATAGGATGCAGGAACTTGGCCTGGCTAGTCTAGGGAAGAGAAGGACCAGGGGAGACAGGAGAGCATCTTCCAATATTTGAGGGGCTGCCACAGAGAGGAGGGGGAGTCAAGCTATTTTCCAAGGCACCTGAAGGCCAGACAAAGAATAATGGATGGAAACTGAACAAGGATTCAACCTGGAAATAAGGAGGAATTTTCTGACAGTGAGAATAATCAACCAATGGAACAGAAGTTGCCTTCAGAAGTTGTGGGAGCTTCATCCCTGGAGGCTTTCAAGAAGAGATTGGATTGCCCTCTGTCAGAAATGGTGTAGGGCCTCCTGCTTTGGCAGGGGGGTTGGACTAGATGACCTCCAAGGACCCTCCCGATTCTGTTCATGTGCTTTCAGATTTTTCCCACATACAAACACAAGCACACACACACATATACTTACCGGGAGGTCACTTCAGTGCTCAGCCCAACCTTGAATTCCAATTCTGGGAGCTCAAAGCTGAGAACGTGGATGGACTCTGCCCTAGAGAGAAAAAAATCAAGCTGTTGTTACAGCAACCATGTTCACACTCCTAAATGGAAAAAAAAACATTTTGGTCCCGGCAACCAAATGTAGGCTAGTTCGCTCTATCGTGTGCCACGTAGCAACCTCTGGTTGTAAAAGCTAGACTTTAAAAAAAGCAAAATGGGAAGAAAAAACAACTCGTTTGAACTGGAGGGGTGCCTGCATAGTCCTTGGACAAGCAACTACTGGAACATAGGTCCCTGGAAGGCAAAATCACCGGAGAAAGCAATTGTGATGCCAACAATTGACAATTGGGGTGCCTTTCTTGGCTACTGTGCATTTTAATTCGTACATCGGTACAAGGTGTAGCCAAGGGAAGACAAAACTGTTGTGGTTCGCCAGCAGCCGGTGCAGACGGCAGTGGAATCGGACAGTGGGGAAGAAAGGGGACCAGTCGGGAAATCTGGGGAGGACTCGGACGAGGGTCCTGCATCCGATGCAAAGATGGGGCCAAGACCATCTGAAAGTGGGGTGCTGCCTCCGGAGCCTCCAGTCTGGCAGCAGTGAGGAAGAGGAACAGAGGGAGCCTGTTCCCAGTGTGCGCATGCACAGAGCTGCTAGAAGGCGAGAGCAGCTGAAGCAAAAGGGACAACTCAGGAGTAAGGCTGGGAGGTGATTGCCCTTCCCGTAAGGTATAAAGGACAGGCAAAGGTGAAGAAACCTCTGCAGAAAGCAAGGTAGTTCCCTCTGTTCGGATTAATCCTTGAAGGTCTGTGTGGACTTCGTACTTCAGTTGGTTGTTTTTTTTTACATTTCATTTGGCACTTTAGTTGTTGGCAGCAATTCAAAGGAGAGAAAGGTGGGTGCTTATCTCGAGGAACTCTTTGGGACTCATTACAGGCTGGGAATGAACATAATTCCCAGCCGTTGAAATAAAACAAGCGTGTGCTTAATTACGGTCTCAGGAAGCCTTGGTCAGAACAGAAACTTCCTATGTTCTCCCAGAGCTACCTCTGGTTGTGAAAGTTGGACCTTAAAAAAAGCAAGACGGGAAGAAAATCGGCTTGTTTGAGCCGGGATGCTGGAGAAAGTGCCTGCAGGTGAGTCCCAGTGAGGGGGCAGCCAATCTATGGGCTGGCATCAAGCATTGGAGGTCATTTTGCCAAGCCACATGGGTGGCATATACATTCGATACAGTGATAAATTGGGAGTCTCCCACTCACCGCTGGGCGGCAGCTGTGATGAAGCTCTTCAGCAGGGAGCGGCCTTCACAAGCAACTGAATCTGCCAGAAGGAAAAAGTGAAGTCGAGTCTTTTGGGTTGAGTCTCTTGGTTCGGTTTTAAGCATCGTTCTTAATAATATTTCAATCCAGTGTTCTTTTTAACCTTCTATTTTTTTTGCAAGTTTCTCAGAGTCACCTTGTTAAGGGAGACGGGCGGCATAAAACTTTGCAATATTAATGTTAGGGATATACACCCTAGCAGAATGTGCACGGTAGTCAGGCAGGCAGGCAGATATGTGAAATAAACGTTGTTGTAGCTTACACTCAGTAAATCAGATACACTGTGCCAGTTAAATAGTTTTTATTCCAGTAAGAGTTATAGCATAGTCAAACAGTCCATATATCATACACTTAGTTCAGTCCGTCCGGGGATTATCCATTAGCAAAGTCCAGTGTCGAAAAAGAGGTCAGGAAACTTACAAATAATCAGTCCAGTAATATATCTCTTTTTGCAGTAGAGATATGAAGAAAATCAAACCTCTTTTCTTCGTTCAGCAATAGCAGGGAAAACACGCAGTTATCACCATCAATCCATCATTGTCAGCAATCCAGTAAAAGCCAGCAAACAGTGAGCTCTCTTGCTCCCTCTTATGGTGATTTTACAACCGCACCCAAAATACATGGTCTGCATTTAAAGTGACACACACAATCATAGTCTATATATATTATTTTACCCAAACTAAGTTAGGTAACCTATGTTATTCCTAACATTCTCCCCTTTTGGGTAATATAATAACATACATATCTATTTACAACTTTAACCCATAGTTTTCACAACTTTCGTTGTGCTTTACTGCACCTTGGGCTTTTGTAAACTGATCAGCAAAATTTTCTTCAGTCATGCAATATTCCAATCTTATTAAACCATTTTTTACAGATTGCCTTACATTCAAATATCTAAGATCAGTATGCTTAGATCTCGTTTTTACAGCAATATTTGTAGCCAACCGTATGGCTGCTTGATTGTCCTCATAAACTACAATAGAATCATTAACAGTTATTCCCATATCTAATAACAACTGTTTATACAGAATTAAATCAGTACATAACAAAGATAGACATGAAAATTCTGCTTCCATTGTGGACATACTTATGTGTTGCTGTCTAATTGACCTCCAACCAATCAGTGCTTTACCTAATAGTATAGCCATACCTGAAGTTGATTTCCTAGTGTTTATGTCTGTTGCAAAACTTGCATCAGCACATGCACTTAAAATCAAATCATCTTTTGGCTCCAAATACAATGCATAGTGCATTGTCTTTTTAAGATACCTTAATATACGCTTTAGCGCTTGCCAGTGACATTCAGTGGGTTCAGCGTTGAATCTTGCCAATTGATTAACGCCATATGCAATGTCTGGCCTTGACCAATTACTAATATACGATAAACTACCAATTAATGACTGATAAATAGTCTTATCAAATTTTGAACTTTGAGCATCAGTTCAGCAAAATTCCTGACTCATTGGAGTTTTTGCCGGCTTACAAAGTTCCATTTTATACGTTTTTAGCAATTGGTAAATTTTATCTTCTTGAGATATCTTAAAGCCACTATTGGTTTTGTTTATTGTCAATCCTAGATATTGTCTTATCTCTCCTAATTGCTTTAATTTTATCCTCTTACCTAATAATAATATTATTTCAGTAGCTTCATTATTAGTCTTTGTAATTAAAGCAATATCATCTGTAAACAACAATAATAATGACACTATTCCATTAGTCTCTCTCTTAAATAAACATGGATCAGCTAAACCTGCTTTAAACCCTATATTGTTTAACTCCTTAACAATATATTGGTTCCATTCATAACCAGATTGCTTTAATCCATAGAGACTCTTTTTAAGTTTCCAACAGTCATTATTAGTTTTATTATCCTTAATACCTACTGGTTTCCTTAAATATATAGTGTGCTGCAATGGTGCATGCAGATAGGCAGTTTCTACATCTAAATGATTTATGATATAGTTTTTCTTAGCTGCCCACACTAAAGCTGCTCTCAAGGTTGTTGCCTTTAAATTCGGTGCAAATACTTCATCATAATCACATGCAGTTTGATTAAATCCTTGAGCTACCAACCTAGCCTTATGGGTAACAGTCCCATTTTTACCAGTTTTTAATTTAAATATCCATTTGCAGCCAATGGACTTTTCACCTGGAGGTAATTTGGCATTTTCATATACTTCCATTTGTTTTAATGAATTTAATTCCTTCTCCATTGCCTTATGCCAATTTTCCTGTTCCTTTGCAGGATACATCCTAAGTTCTTCAACAGTAGTTGGAACTTTACTAACTTGGCAAACTACACTTGCTTGGTACCTGTCAGGTGGTCTGGTTACACGTGTAGAACGTCTAGGTATTACACGGCTTACAGGTGGACTTTCATGTACTACCTGTTCCTCGTTATCTATTTCTTCCTCTTCTGGTATTTCTTCCTGTTCTGGTCCTATATGCTCTTCATGTACTTCCTCTTTAATTGCGCTCTTCTTATTACTGATTTGTACTTTTGGTCTTTTGTAGGTTTCTATGATTACTTCCTTACTTGAATCTTGCTCCAGTTTTTCCCATCCTACATGTTCAAGGAATTGTGCACTAGCACTACAGTAAACTCTAGATGTACCTTTTTCCCAGAATCTGTATGATTTGTGATTAGATTCATAACCTACAAAGAATAACCTTTTAGCCCTATGCTGCCCCTTGTGTCTCAGTTGTGTAGGAATATGCACCCATGCTGGTGCTCCAAATGTATGCATGTAGCTTAGGTCAGGTTTTCTGCCATGCCACCGTGTGAATGGTAATTCACCTGTTGTTGAGTTAACAACATTATTCAATATATGATTACCACATATTATTGCTTCTCCCCACAAAGTTTCAGGCAGTCCTGAATCTGACAGCATAGTACGAGCCATTGCTTGTATTGTTTGGCCTCGTCTTTCTATAAAGGCATTATGTTGTGGCCTATATGGTGCAGACTTTTTATGTTCAACACCTGCCATCTTCAGTCTGTTTTGGAATTTATTGTTTATAAATTCCGTACCATTATCAGTTATAAGAGTTACTAATTTCCTTTTAGTTTTTCTTTCTGCAAATTTAAGCCAATTAAAGAAATTCTGATATGTTTCCGTTTTACTCTTCATTAAATAACAGAAACCATATCTGGAATAATGGTCCATTATACTTAGTATATAACGAACACCTCCCACACTTGGTTTTTTAGGACCTATAATATCAGCAAATACGACCTCTAGAGGTTCCTTTGTCTTAAATCCATTAATTCTATTTGCTGGTATTACCTTGCTTTTTTCTTGACTGCAAGCATTGCAGTGCAAATAATTACTGCAAGGCTTCAGTTTTATACCTTTAGATAGTTCTACCGTTTGTTTAAGCATTTTAAAATTTATATGCCCTAAACGTCTGTGTAACAAATGTATGCACTCATCATGAGGTTTAACATTATTATATACTGTGTTAGCTACCTCTAATGAATTATCATTTAACACATACAATTCACCTTTTAAAGTTGCAGTCACTTTTTTACCTTCTTTTTCAATTATGCAACTTTCTCCCTTAAAGGTAATTACATAACCTAGTTTAACCAAAACTCTAACTGAAAGCAAATTAAACTTAAGTTGTGGTACATATAACATTTTTACATTTTCTCTTATGCAAGAACAATATGCTATACCTTCACCTTTAGCTTTCAGTTTCCAGCCATTAGCTAACGATATCTGCTGTGAACTTGTGGACATCTTAACAAATCTTTTCTTATCTTTCGTTATGCAGTGCGATGCTCCACTATCTACAACCCATAAATTATTATTCACAGTTTCGTTGCTATACATGGCTAACTCAAAGCATTTTTTATCCTTTTGATGCCTTTTAGCATTCTGGCTGGCATTTTGGCTTCTTGCTTTCTTGCAGAATCTAGCCAAATGTCCTTTTCCTCCACAATTAAAGCATTTTCTAATTGTATATGCTGACGAAGATATTTTCTCTTCTTCACATTGTGGTTGTTCCCTTCTGAGTTGATCCCTTTCAAGCCTTCTCCTGGCTTCTTCAATTAATCTGCCAGTAATGTCAGTTAATGTGAGGTTATCTTTTGGCAATACTTCAAGTGAAGTTACATAGTCATCATAACTCTCATCTAACGAAGACAAAATTATATAAACTTGATGTAGTTCTGTGAAGATAAGTTCTTTTTCATGTAGTTCCTGAAAAATTCTCTTCATTGTGTTTATATGATTCAGCATGTCTCCATTCTTTTGAAGATGTGTTCTGAACAGCTTTCGTGTAAGATTTATATGTGCTCCTACACTGTCTCGAACATAAATCTTCTTTAAATTCTCCCAACATTTCGCAGCTGTTTCTTCTCCATGAATATGGACAAGTTGCTGGTCAGAGAGTGTCAGTCCTATTATACAGAGAGCTTGCTCATTCTTCAGTTGATATTCTTGTATTTTCTGGGCATCATCCTCATCCTCTGGATCCCATGCATCTACTTCTGGTGGGTTTTGTATTATATTCCACAAACCTTGTCTGCGTAGAAGTACGCTGCATTTCATAGACCATGAAACATAGTTTGTTCCATCCAGTTTGGATATTAGAGACAAACTTTGTAAATTGACTTGTGCCATCTTTTTCTGGATATTAAACTATAATTAATAAAACACAGCTGTCTGTTTACAGTATTGTGTATCTACACAAACTCTCACTTTATATAAGCCTGTTATATCCTGGTTAGTCTGACTGCGCAGCGGAAGCGTGCTGGGCCCATAACCAGTGTTAGGGATATACACCCTAGCAGAATGTGCACGGTAGTCAGGCAGGCAGGCAGATATGTGAAATAAACGTTGTTGTAGCTTACACTCAGTAAATCAGATACACTGTGCCAGTTAAATAGTTTTTATTCCAGTAAGAATTATAGCATAGTCAAACAGTCCATATATCATACACTTAGTTCAGTCCGTCCGGGGATTATCCATTAGCAAAGTCCAGTGTC